GTGGGTTTTAATCTTGCTTACTTGTTTTCATATCCAGTATTTTTTTGGTTTAATTGTTATAGTAATTCTGTACATCTGTTGAATTTATTTCTAAAAAAAGAACACAGTGTAAAATTCATATTTGTTTTTCTTCCTTTCAGAATAGACAACAGTGGACTGTTCCTATGCAAGAAATAAAAAGTACAGTAATGCATTGGAGAGAGGCAATATGACACAGTGGGTAAAGCTGCCTTTATAGCCATTCAAGGCCTGTATCTCCTATGGACTAATTATGGAGCCCTAGTTAATATTCTTTATCCACCAGTTTTGTGACAGGACAACTGGGTAACAGGTCTAAACTACCTGGCTGTTTCCAGGATGAATGCAATTAATGCCGCAACACTGAAGACAACTTGTGAAGGCCATAGAGTTGTTGAATACATTTAGAGGGCATGAAGTTATGAGAAGGTTGTAATGGAACAGGATTAGGCAATTACAGCCCTGCAGAAGTTGTTGGGCTTTATCTCCCATGAGTTGGATCCAGCATAGCCAATGGTGGGAAATGTTAGGAGCTGCAGTTCCTGAAAACAAAAGGCTAAAGTCTGCCTTTTCTTCTGTACTAGCAAGATAGTTAAGATCTATCAACTTAAGTTTCATCTTTTCCCCTATATAAATAAACATGCTTAAAATTAAATTATAAAAAGCATAGCAAATTATTATTTGTAGGAAACACTAGTACTTTTAATTACATCACTGGATTGTGAATGTGCATTGTTACTGTTTTTATTAATTATAAATAGCTTTTTATACACACCTTCTGGTTTACAGCTTACTGTCAGATAGTAGAAAACAGCCAGTTCTTTTGTATATTCCTACCACAGAAGAGACTGGGCATAATGTCTCTTTTCTGTAGTATTTGATGTCTAATCGATGAAAGCTTTTACACCAGAGTTGCAGGTGTAAAGAATACAGAGTGGTCGACCAGACCAGATGGGCGGGATATAAATCAAATAAATAAATAAATACACCTGCAACTCTGATGTGCTACAGAAACTGAAAACATAACTATGTGAACCTGCTTATCAAGAAGCAGGCAGAAGGACTCCTGACCTCATTCTGATATTATAAAGCTACAGTATTTGCATCCCAGCAGCCTGTTAAGGCATATACTGTACTGTAATATGTTTTAGACAAGAAATATAACTAAATCTGGTTGCTTGGTTGAATCTGAATACTAGTCACAAGCTTAAAGACAGAAGTAGTCATTACACGGTATTCTCAGGGTTGCAGTCCTCAGCTGTATGCATGCTTTCCTTAAAATGCATTAATGTATCTTTAAATTGTTGAATGTATGATTTTGCCTTCTCTTGAATCAAATTACAGTATTGGTCTCTTAGTTCTCCTCTGCCCAAGTACTCTATACATTTTATTATCTCCATCAGATTTCCTAGCCCTTTTTTTACATTCACCATCAGCATATGTTCTTAACTTTGCCCATTTGTGCTCTGGTAGACTTTTTTTAAACTTTCAGATAATTTTTATATGTTGTTATTCCTTATTGACTGGCTGGACAGTGTCTGCGAAGCAATCAACATGAAATTGACCCAACTCCGGGAGGCAGTGGAAGATAGGAGGGCCTGGCGTGCTCTGGTCCATGGGGTCATGAAGAGTCGGACACGACTAAACAACAACGATTCCTTATTTGCACAATAAAAAGAAATCTGCAAGTGTTTCATAAATATCTAGTTCTGAAATAAGGAGAGACGTATGTAGGACAACTTTTTGACGTGTACTGTATTAAGAGATGACAGAAAAAGCTGTTATCAAAGATTTATTTTACTATGTGACCAATTAGCTACAAAAGAAATTTTAGCATATACTATATTTTTAAAATGGTTAGAAATGTACATTGAGCTGTACAATTCTAGATGTTCAGTCTAGATAGATACATATTAAGGTGATGTTTGATAGTAGGCATCATGGTAATTAAGGAATAAACTTTCTAAACTGCAATGTTATTTTCATTTGGAACTAAGCCCATTTAATTTAACATATTTGCATTTCAGCAATTTGCACTGCTAGCAATTTTAGGATGTTGGCATTTTATTTTACAAAATAAAGGACTCCAATATATTTGATGTCAATATTTAGTATGTTGCAGTCTTTTGTAAATTTAGTGTTGGCAATTAAGGAAATTCTCCAGGTGCGTAGCTTGTTAAATCAGTTTTGCAACAACTAACATTTTGTGGCACCTTAACAATTAGTATATTTATTAGTTTCTAAGCTTTGTGTGGGTTGCAGTCCATTTCAGTATTGAAACTAAAACAATTATTTATTTGGGATTATTTGGGTAATTGTTTCACTGTATACTTCTTAATTGTTTGTAAATTACTTATGGCCTGTTTCCAGAATGCAAAACTTTAGAAGACAGATTAAAAAACACTTTAGCAAACGTCGTAGTGGTAAGGAGGACTATGGGGAGTCTAAATTATTAGTTGTGGCAACTGGAAACCAATTTACAATAGTTTACTCTGCTGGGACAGTTAATCATACAAAGTAGTTCATGGATACATATTAAAAATTGCTTATCCTATAGAAGTTTACTATGACTCATAGGTCTTTGTAATCGTAAGAGATATTGACTGAAATCCTATTGCAGTTATGCAAACAGTGAAACTTTTGGAAGCCAGTTGCTGTAAGTTAAAAACTCTCTATAGACTTTACCTGTTGCATACTGAGTCACAGGATATGGCAGGCGACAGGTAAGATCTACGGAGATTTCTTAACCTACAGCAGTTCATCAGTAAAAGTTACATTATTTGCATAACTGCACAAGATTTAAGCCAAAGTATACCCTTTTCTCTATTTCAAATTATACCAATTTATTTGTAATTAGAAAAAATACATGTTTAAAAAAACTAACTTAAAAAGAGCTCTGCTGTTAGAATTTTACAGAATTCTGAAATATTCAACCTTGCATGTTCTTGCCACATTATAATTTTAGATCCTGGAATCTACAGTCTCACACAGTTATATTTGGGGTGACAACTCCCATCATCCCAATCACTTTAAGTGGCTATGGGAGCAGAACTACATTGTGACTGGCAATGGAACTGAATTTCCCAGGAGCTGAATGAGGTAGTGGGTCTTTTTTTATTTCTATAAAAAAGAACCATGCTTCATCCCATGCTTCATCTGCCTGAGGATTTTGCATTTCTATTAGGCAATGGTTTAAAAAATAAAAGTCTCCCTAAAGGAGCATGTAGCCAGACAAAAGAGTGTGTTTTTTTAGCCCCTGTCCAGTGTCTCTACTATTCCTGCTTTATTAGACTAGATTACTCAAAAGATGAGGGTAAAGCAAAGCAGTTCATAGATTCTGCCTGCCTCCAAGTCTAAGAGAACACAACTTTGCTGTAATTGCAACATTTCACGGAAACAGAAAGGGGTGAAGGTCAAACCCACACTGCTTTTGTGATTTAGGCTATACAAGATTTGGTGTAATTCCTATTTTGCAAGACAAACTGCGATATGAGAGGATGTGGTCCCTGCAGTGAGTGCTGAGAGAAAGTAGTGTGTGCAAATTGCCGTCTGCCCTGGTTCAGACCACTTCTTTTATCTTTAGCCCCAAAGCACAGTAGCTTTCTAAATTTGGGGGGGGGGTGTAGGGAGTATGGACTGAGATCATTGGTAACCATGGGATTTGCCTGATAATAATTCTAGCCCAACTGGCCCATCCTACAATTCAGTGGCTGAAATCCTGCTGCATAATGTTAAAAATAAAGTAAAATCGTAGGTTCTGTCCGTTCTTTGCAGGTAAATAAAGAGCCCCTGCCACAGTTCTCGGGTGCACCTGCACAAACTGGTTTGGTGGGTGGGTGTGCACATGCCTGAGAATCACATGCTTGAGAACTCACCCACAAGGAGTGGATAGAAATTTATGACTTTGCTTATGTTGAAACAATAGGATTTGGGCCTATATGTTTGGTAATGCTAGAGAGCCTGCAGAAGACTAATCTTCATGAACAGCTTTCTTAGCCGTTTCAGAAAGACACTTGGGGGACTGACAGAGGTTTGAAAGCAAATCAGAGTTCTCTTTAGAGATGTAAGTACTAGAAGCATTCTCAGTCTGTTGGAAAAAAGACAGCAATATGATAATTATCTCCAAATAAATGTCATCTGGCTCTTCTTCAATACTAGGAGTATGGGTTAGAGATATTTTAAAATATATATTTTAGAAATGCAGATATGCTTACTACTTGACTAGTAAAGTGAAGCACTTTATTTTGAGGTGCCAGTACTTCTGACTATAACTGGCTATCTGTAGCTAAACACCCATCTTCCACATACTGACAGTCTGTGCAACTTTTGGCATTTCATAGTATAGGCTATATGAAGAACTAGATTTACCCTATCTGATCAAGAACCCAAAGTCTATTATGCAGGTTTCATGAGTCATGTCTTTACGCTTAGCTCACAAAGTCCTGCCTGGAAGATGTATCTTTTTAGTAGACACGCCTGCTAGACAGGACAACTCATGGTAGAAAATAGCTGCTTTGCTGCAGGTTTTTACCGAACAAATCTTTTGTGCTCTAGTGTTGGGTTCAGTTTGAAAGGATCAGGATGGAAAGGAATGAATAGGGGGAAATGCCATTTTTAACAGACATCTGTATAGATCTATCCATTTGCAAGGCAGGGAATGAGAGACGAGGACTTTATGCAAAGGTTTTCACTTCCCCACAAGCTACAACCCAAGTCCCACATTATTGCATTGCTCTGTGAATGCACTGAGGGAAATTATGCAGACTAAGCAATCTATAGTTTGTGTCTTGCTGTCTTTCCTCCCAATGCCAGAATATTAGTCATCTAGAGCACTAGATTACTACTGTAGAACTGAAATCAGGCTAGCCAATAAGGTTCCTGCTCTCTTACCAACTCAGAAAGAACATTGGTCTTACATTGTCCCCTCTTCCTCCTCCCCGCTCCCCAAGCCATCCAGATACATAAACACACAAAGCAAGGAATTCAGAAGCACCAGTTTGGGGTTTAATTAACCAACCTGGGGAAAACGGGCACTGGATAAGTGTGTGGCACCCTCCATGTTGCACCTTTCCAATCAATTACAGGAGGAAAGGGAGCTGGAGGTAGGGAGGGAGCAGATACAGGTATAGAAAAGAGCAGTACAGTAAAAACAAGGGGAATTGGGGGGGGGAGGGAAAAGGAAGAGAATAGAGAGAAGTCACTTTTAAAATCACAATCTCAAACCTTTTATAAATGTACAAAAAAACTCCCCACCTGCCTGGGGCAAATATATAAATATTTACACTGCTTGGAGGCAGGAGGAGATGCCCTAACATACAGGCTTCCTCACTTCCCCTGAAAGCAGCCTTCCCAAGAGTCCATGGAGGGAGGAGAGCCCACCCCAGTCAGATTTCAGCCCAGCAAGAGTACTGGAAGCAGACACCAAATCCACCGACAATTCCTACAAAGGCAGGAAGAGGAATCTTTTGCAGAGCTCAGGAACACAGACCAGGGGCACTCCGACTCCCGGATTCCTGCTTCACCCCAGACACCAACACCCCTAAACAGAACCCTCTGCTGTAAGCCTCAACCATAGCCAGGAAGAGAATCTGACTATTCATAACTGAAGGGGAGCTAGAGTCCTTCCAGGATGGTGGGCAGCAGCATGCCCCTACTTCAGACTAAAGCGGCAGGTGGCCACGCTCCTATCCCCACTAGAGGCCTAGATTATCTGCCCAGGGCATGTGCCAACTGTCCATCAGTATGCCAGAGAAAAGGAAAGCTGCTTGGTACAGGTGTTTATGTTCCAGGGACCTGCTACAGCACCATTATCTGGAGTCCCGGTCCTTATAGGCAGCAGCCAGTTCTCGGATGTCGGGGGCACGCCGAGGGGAACAGGGTCGAGCATTGGAAGCTGGGATGAGAGGAGGCGGGGCACTTAGCAGTCCCACAGCTGCAGCTGCAGCCGAGGGGGCCGTTTTGGCCAGCAACCCATTTTGGTGGCGAGGATAGGCCATGAGGCTGGGGTGGGGTGGAGGCGCCAGGCCGTATAACCGGGCCCGTTCGTAGTCTTCGGCAGCTGCAGCAGCAGGAGACGGGGTTTCCAGGTAGCGGGGGAAGCGTGGTATTGAGTGCAACTCCAGCCCCCGATGGTAGGGCTCACGCCAAGCTTCAAGGGCAGTGTAAGAGGCTGCCGTGGGGGGAGCAGCCACCAGGTACGGGGAGACACTACCGCCAGTCCCGGCCTGGGGCCGCTCAAACACAGCCAGTGTCCCCAAGGGATGGGAGACATGCAAGGTACTATGGTAGGGAGGACCAGCACGCAGTGCCCCCTCAAACCCTGTCAACTCCGGCTCTTCCTTGACCTTCACCTCCTTCTTCAGGGGCAGCTCTGGATAAGGTGAGCGGGAGGCATGGCCTGAGCTTGCAGGGCTTCCATAGCGATGGTCACGTTCTGTCGGCATATGGGGGCGGCCTGGAGGCTCCTCATGAGCCAGTGCTGGGTTCTTCGGAGTAGGAGTCGCTGGAGACGCACGCAGGGGGTGGCGGGAGAAGAGGGCATCTCTGAAACACATCCAGGCAAAATGTTGAGGGTCAAATGTGTAGACCCTTTCTTGGCCTTCCTTAATTTCCTGACGCTCACCCTACTCTCCTCTATTCAAAACTACTACCTACATTAGCCTGTGCCAGTGTCTTCCTAATTGAGTCCTGGTTCCCTGCCCTCAACATAAATACCTCAGCTTCACCCCAACCCTCAGAGAAGTCTTGACTATTTCCCCTTCACCCCACCCTGACAGCCCTTCAATATTTTACTTGATCCTCAGCACAACCATGTCGCACTCCCTCCCACTTCCTGTATCTAGGTCTCTTTAATCTGCATCCAGAAATGGGTAGCACTAGTAAATTAAAGCCAGGACTTGGAAAATGTGTGCCAACTATATTTCCAAAACATCCCCAGCCAGCACAGGACATATTGATGGCATTCTGGGAGTTGTAGTTCCCCCCCCCAAGAGAATCTTTCCAAACTCTGATTCTGAACCATAAATGTAACTAAACAGTCAATGGTAATTGGTCTTCTTTGCATGCCTGAAGACTCTGCCACCACCTCTGTGTCTCTCATTTGCCTCTCACCTGTCCTTTTCATCCTTGATCGCTGGCCCATCAGGCTTCTCGCTCTCTTTGTCGTGCTGGCTGCCTCCACGCTCAGTTCCATCTCCAGTGCCACCTTTAGGCCAGGCCGGGGCAGTGGGGAAGGAAGGAGGCGTGCGATGGAGGCGGTTCCATGCCTCATGAGGGCTAGGGAAGGGTGGAGCTCCAGGGCTCTCCTTTTGCCCAAAGACAGTGCTCGAGTCTGGGAGCAGGAGCAGAAAGATCAGATCTAGCACATTAGAAGCACAGTGGCCCCCAGAACCCTTGTCATGGCAGGTTACAACCCTCAAAAAGCCCAGCAGGCACTTGAGAGTGGCCAGGTTAGCAAATACAGAGGCAACTGGGCCCCCTCTGTTGAAATATGGACACCAGTGGACAACACATTACAGGGGAACACCTACAACTAAGAGCTTACAAATACACCATGAGGAAAGAACCAATGGCACAGTCCTCTCAAACATCATTTCAAAATGCTCGAGTTGATGTGGGGGGACTGGAAAAAGAATGGAATGAGCTCTTGCAATAAAAACTTTCTGTGCACAGAAAGTTACCATGTCAAGGCAGAGCATCATAACCCACATTTCTCATTTACCAAGGAGTAACACCCTGGAGAAGACTTTCCCATTGCCTTTTCTCTGAATGGATGGTTGGGTCTCAACAAACCCAATGGTCTAACAGAGAGGTGGAAAGCCTGATAACAGCCTTCCAAGAAACGCTAAATGGACAGGACCAACAGCTAGAAAAAATGTTTGCAAATTCCAGGCTGAGCCTCAGAAAAAGTCCTTGCCCTTTTAGTCAAAAATAGACTGGCAGTAAGAAGAGGACAAGATTGAAGGCTCATGGGCTTTCTCTCCAGTTCTGGAAAGGAGATAAGGACTTGGAAGGAAAGAGGGATAAAATGAGGAGTCCTAAATGTCTATCTCTGGCTCTTGGTAATGGTGGTGGAGGAGACTGGGAAGAGACAGGCCTCCCAGGTTGGTCCTCCAGCTGTAAAAGCAAGATGAACAGGGCTCAAGAACAGGATTGTGGAGTGCTGGCCTCCAGCCCTACCAATTAAATAGGCATATTCTATCACTGCTTCCTTTCTCGGCCTAGTAGTTTCCAGTAAGCTCTCAAGGAATCCCTTCCTGCCCTCATCCATGACAGTTACTAACATCTCATTCTCCCTGCAATACTTACTGAAGGATGGATTGCCTAGGCCCCCAAAAGCACCATTGGAAAGTGCCCCCAGGGAGGTGAAGCTGGGGGGCCTGCCAAAGGGATCTGGAAAAGAAGCAAGGAGAGAGGTGAGCAAATGTGCAACGCTGCTGGATCCCTGCCCCGCTTGCCCTGTCCCTAGGCATGCCAGCTCTTACCGATGTGTGGGCTGGGGCTGAGGAAGGAGCCATGAGGGGTGCTAGCGGGACCAAAGGACGAGGCACCACCTGGGTGGACAACACCTGCAAGATCAGGGAGGCAAGGAGGAGGAGTGTTCACAGTTAAGAGACCAGTGTCGCTTGGGCAAGAGGAAAAGGGGCACATCTTTTAGTTAGAGAAAAATGGACTTCCCAATACAAAACCATCTCTGTGGAAGAACCTTTGCCGCTATCATATCATAAATATCATACACAACCTGTTCTGAGCCTCCTGGTTGGTTTTGCTTCATAACCACTTGGTAAACGGAGGGCACACCTGTTCACATTTTACAAACAAAAAGAGGAACCTCAAAGAAAAACTTCTCTTGAAATACTATGGAGGAAGGTAGAATATTTTAGAATGCCATTACCAGCATGATTCAAGGGGAGCCTCCAAGTGCCAGGAATGGGTATTTGTGCATTTAGAGGATGGCTCAGAATGTGGGTAGGGGACGGTCTTTGAAGTCCAGGGGAAACCTGCTCTGAAACAGAGAGAGGGCACTGACCAGAAGCTGTAAAGAGGGTGGCAGGGCGTGCCAAGTCCTGGCCATGGGGCAGACTGCCAAAGGCTCCAGTCCCAGGCAAGCCTGCAAGGAGATCATTCCGGAAATCCAATTTGTGTGGGTCACCCTGCATCATCTGCAAGAAAAAAAGAGACAACTTTCATGAGCAACAAGCTTAATATAATTCCATCTACTCCAACCTTATCCTTTTTATTTTAAATTTCTTTTGGCAGGGACACCTCCTGCTCAGCCTCACACCCCAGTCCTAGAGGGATCTGATTTCCCAGCCTCCTAACCCCAACTTACAAACCCTGACTTGGATCCAGGGTCCAGCACAGACATCAGAGGACTAGAAAGGGAAGCGCCTCTCCTGTTGTTTGCAGTGACCCTCAGATGGCCACGAACAGGAGCTGCTCCACACCCCGTCACTGTATGCAGGCGGAGGAGAGAGGCAGTGCAGGCCCACCCTACCTTCATCTTCTCCTGGTGCCGCAGAATCATATAAGCCACACGGACATGCATGGCACACCACTTCCCGGGCTTCTGCGAGAGAGGGGGGAACTGTCAGCTCTGAATATTATGTCCCTGCTGGGCCAGGCACATGTTGCCCTGCATTCAAAATTAGTCACAACACTCCCCACTCCCCATAGTTTCTCCCTCCCCCACCCATGCCAGATCAGCCACTGCTAGCCCCCAGTATCCCACAGGTCCACCCTGCTGGGCTGCAGCCAGGAGGGGTCCCCAGCCTACTCACTCTCAGCGTTGGCCGGAAAGGATCTGTAAGCTGCAAGGAGACAGAAAGGCCAGTCAGGGTTCAGTATGCCTCTCCAAAGAGCCTCCAACCCCACCTCTTAGTAACGTGATAGCTCCCTTATCTTGCCAGGCCAGTCATCTATCTCGCCTAGTACTGACTGTCAGTATCTCGCAGTTAGGAGCTGCTCCCATCCTTTCCGGAGCTCCCAGGGACTGAACTGGTGGCCTCCTGCAGGCAGTGGCCTACCAATGAATGAGCTGCCACAGCCCCATTTTTTCCCTCTGAGGTAATCAACTCACCTGGGTGCCTTTCTGGGACAAGGTGGCTGGAACTGTACCCAGCCTGGATGGCAGGTCAGGGTTAGTGCTCTGAGGAAGAAAGAACCGTTTGTTAGAAAGCCAAGAGATCCTGAGTGTAATGCTTTTCTCTGCCTCGTGAGGTCAGATGCAATGCCCAGGACAGGACCTGTTGTGGAACCCCATCTCAATAGAAACTGTGCCATGTTTTCCACCTCAATTCAAGCCTTCCAATGCTTTCCCCAGAATCCAAGTCTTGTGACTCCCCACCTGGCTACTCAAGACCTTTGATTCCCAGACTCTCTCCAATAATCAATGCATACACTGGCCAGCTCAGATGGAAAGGAGAATTCTAAACACACTCAGATACAAATACACATGCACAGATCTTAGAAAAAATTTTATTTTGGATTATGACTCCCAGGATCCCATGCTCACAGAAGATGCTGGGAACTGCAGTCTAAAGAACTAATTCTTCCAAGCCCTCACACACAGATCTAGTTTCTCTAAAACAGCAGGAAGGCTCCTCTACTGGGCCTTGCTTTCTTCTCAGAGCTATTATGTAAACCCATGAGTCCAATCACCTGTTCTTCACTCATGCTCGAACCCACTGCATTTCACTGTCCCCAGTCACCTTGCCTCCCCACAATCCTGATGCTATCCCATATCAATAAGCTCATTCTCTATGCAGAGCATCCCTGGCCCTCAAACGTCTCTATTCTGCTAGATTTGGATTCCACCTCCACTCCCACTTAAAAAAATAAAAACAAAGAAAATCCCAGGAGGTCCGAATTTTAACCTCCCCACTTCCAAAGAAAGCCCATTGGCCTACTATGTCTATTCACCTTAGGTTGGAATGCCCCCTGCAGAGAGCCAAAAGTCACCGCGGGAGGCAGGACCGGGGAGATCCCCGACACGGTTGGGGGAAATGCAGCATAGAACTGGAAAAAGAAGAGAAAGCCATGGAAATGCCACCCAGAGAAAATGAGGCAAGAGGAAGGGGGATTTTGTTCCTTTCCCAACATCCATGGATCTATGATCCTCCCTGATCTGCTTCCCCATCTGAAAGATCAGCCCCACAAATGCTCTAACAAGACTGCACTTACATTATGCCTCAGAAGCCCATCCATCTTGCCAGGGTATTTCTCAAACTGAAACAGAACGAGGGGGGGAAAAATGAGACATGGGGCGAGAGAATAATCCCAATCCTAAAACNGAGAATAATCCCAATCCCAAAACTCCATGTTTTAACCCCCCCCCCAAAAAAGCTCAGTCCTACACAAGACTGTTTGCGAGGCCCAAGATGACACTCACCACAGCTGAACTAGGTGTGGGCACCATGCCCGGTGGGAAAGGGGTGAAGTGCTGGTGGGTGTGCTGGTGGGTGTGCTGGTGCTGGTGGTTGTGCTGATGGAACTGGAAGGCCAGTGGACGGATAGTGGCAGCCCCCATGTCGGCTCCACCTTGCGCTGTGAGAAATCGAGAACTCAGATCTTGTCGGATTAACTCTTGTTCTGGGGAAGGAAAGCACAAGAAGTCTGAAAGCAAGTCGCAGGAGGGAGGGTGGAGGAACCAGTGATGAAAGCATTGAAAAAAATGTAACGTCATCCACTGTTAGAACTCTGCACTCATCTGTATTCACATAACTGTGGCCAGTGCTCGGAAAAGTTCCTTTTTCTTTGATAAGTTCCAGAATTAAATTCAAGTATTCCACAAGCATGGGACCAGACTCCAATGTTATCCTCATCTCAAGTCTTTTTCCCCCCAACAGCATGGCACAGTTTCTACTGAAATATTATTAAGCATCTTATATCTCCCCTTAATGGTTATTTTCCACAACTTTCCCCCCCAAAACAAAACACCTGCTTCATGTTCCTGTCATACATTCAAATCTTCCCTCCCCAAGTCATTAAAACTAGAAATATACTTTTCAAAAATTAAAACCCAACATGTAGCACAAAGACCAAGACTACACAAACACTACATTCCCTGCCTTATATTATCTTAATCACTGCTTCTGGGAGGGGAACTTTTCTATCTAAACAAGATATTTGGCCTGCTTAACATTTGAGAATTTAAAATAAAAAAATAATAATTTTTACAAAGCTGGAAGTGGTCTTCTGGAAGTGGGCTCCCCCTCCCATTTTCATTTAAATTTGGAGGGGCTGATGTGGCCCTTGGTGGATTCCCCAATACAAGACCTTATCATCCCTACCGTGTTCCCTTGAAAATAAGACAGGGTCTTATATTAATTTTTGCTCCAAAAAAATGCAGTAGGGCTTACTTTCAGGGGATGTTTTAATTTTTTTCATGTACAAACATCTACATTTATTCAAATACAATCATGTCATCTTCTTCTGGTTGCTGCACAAGGGTGGAGAGCAGGGTTTCACTTAACTGAGGCTTATTTGGGGGTAGGGCTTATATTACGAGCATCCTGAAAAAACCTACTAGGGCTTATTTTCAGGGAAACTGGATATTTTATAACCCCTATACAAGATATACTTCATGCAATCAGCATTGGATACGTACAGGATGAGTCCAACACAAACTGCAATTTATATTTTACATGTCTGAGGAGACCAATCTTCATTCTTACTTTTCCAATTGGTAGGACATTCAGCTCCTTCTAGGTATTTATAGCCCACAGCCCTCTCTGCAAGGAGCTTCCACCCTATTTCTTACCACTCGGCCCCTGCAAAGCTTTCCCAAAGAGTCAAATGACACCACTGTACCCCAGTCCCCCTTACCCGATATGGCAGCGGCTGCAGCTGGGTGCCCAGCGACTTGCAGCAGCGGAGGTGGTGGTGGGAGGCCAGGCGAGGGAGTGAACATGCCTGGGTGATGGTGGGAAGGCGGCCGAAGTGTGGATGGAAAGGCATGGGGAGGCAGGGCCAGTGAGGGAGTGGAGGGTCGGTGAGGGACCTGAGAGGAAGAGGGGGAGCAAGGAGGGAGGATGGGCTTGGGGTGAGCTGCACCGCGGCTGCACCTGAAAAAAAAAAGAGAGAAATCATTTGGATGCTGCTGGTGGGGAAGAACTCAAGTAAAGAAAAGAGAGAGAGAGAGAGAAATACAAAGCCCTGCATATGGATCTGTGGGGCTCAAGTTTGAATCCCAGTTCAGCAACAGATTGAACTGGAAGGCTCTAATTATAAGATTAATTGAAAATAGATCCCCAAGTGGAAGAATGAGAACAACAGGCCTCATTGGGTTGTTGTGTTTACAAGCCGAAGATGAAATTTATAACATCTTTTGGCCTCATTGGGTTGTTGTGTTTACAAGCCAAAGATGAAATTTATAACATCTTTTATCTAGAGGAACCTTAAACAGAAGATGAACACATATCTGTTTTTTTAACACTCCCAAATCAATTGATCTTTCTTATGAGCGCACCTATAGGAATGCTATGGAGAAAAAGTCAAGGAATGGGAATTCTTCTTCTTTCAGAAAAAGAGGCATATTTCTAAAGGAAGAGAAAAACACTTAAAATAAGAATAATCAAATAAAAGTGGGAAAGGAGACGAATAAAGCCCAAATGCACGGTGTCGTCACAAAATGATGGAATTCTTCGATCCCTCAAGTCCAAATTTCATCCCTGTCCATAAATTCATGAGGTGGCAAGACACACAACACACACTCAATCTCAGTCTGAAACATGGAAACAGCAATACTGATTCATTTACAACCTTGCTATATGGATGTACAAAGTGCTTTGGAAACTCTCAAGTGGTCTATAAAATGTAATTTTAAACTGAGAGGAGAGGCACTGTTTGTTTGATCTACAATTTCCAGAAACCCACAGTCAATATAACCATTAACCATACAAGCTGTGGAATGCAATTCTGAGAACTGCAGTCCAAAGCACTAACGTTTCTTACATTTTGTTTTTATGATAAGTGAAGAGGGATGGAGAATTGCTTGAATAAGATAGGGAAAAGAGCAGCTAAAGGGAATAAAATGGGAAGGAAGGAAGGAAGGAAAGAAAGAAAGAAAGAAAGAAAGAAAGAAAGAAAGAAAGAAAGAAAGAAAGAAAGAAAGAAAGAAAGAAAGAAAGAAAGAAAGAAAGAAAGAAAGAAAGAAAGAAAGAAAGAAAGAAAGAAAGAAAGAAAGAAAGAAAGAAAGAAAGAAAGAAAGAAAGAAAGAAAGAAAGAAAGAAAGAAAGAAAGAAAGAAAGAAAGAAAGAAAGAAAGAAAGAAAGAAAGAAAGAAAGAAAGAAAGAAAGAAAGAAAGAAAGAAAGAAAGAAAGAAAGAAAGAAAGAAAGAAAGAAAGAAAGAAAGAAAGAAAGAAAGAAAGAAAGAAAGAAAGAAAGAAAGAAAGAAAGAAAGAAAGAAAGAAAGAAAGAAAGAAAGAAAGAAAGAAAGAAAGAAAGAAAGAAAGAAAGAAAGAAAGAAAGAAAGAAAGAAAGAAAGAAAGAAAGAAAGAAAGAAAGAAAGAAAGAAAGAAAGAAAGAAAGAAAGAAAGAAAGAAAGAAAGAAAGAAAGAAAGAAAGAAAGAAAGAAAGAAAGAAAGAAAGAAAGAAAGAAAGAAAGAAAGAAAGAAAGAAAGAAAGAAAGAAAGAAAGAAAGAAAGAAAGAAAGAAAGAAAGAAAGAAAGAAAGAAAGAAAGAAAGAAAGAAAGAAAGAAAGAAAGAAAGAAAGAAAGAAAGAAAGAAAGAAAGAAAGAAAGAAAGAAAGAAAGAAAGAAAGAAAGAAAGAAAGAAAGAAAGAAAGAAAGAAAGAAAGAAAGAAAGAAAGAAAGAAAGAAAGAAAGAAAGAAAGAAAGAAAGAAAGAAAGAAAGAAAGAAAGAAAGAAAGAAAGAAAGAAAGAAAGAAAGAAAGAAAGAAAGAAAGAAAGAAAGAAAGAAAGAAAGAAAGAAAGAAAGAAAGAAAGAAAGAAAGAAAGAAAGAAAGAAAGAAAGAAAGAAAGAAAGAAAGAAAGAAAGAAAGAAAGAAAGAAAGAAAGAAAGAAAGAAAGAAAGAAAGAAAGAAAGGACATTTATCTTTGTAGAAACTCAATGAGAGGAATTGGGGGAGAGACAATCTTGGAACAGAGTGATAGCAGGAGGACAGGTAAGTCATTCAAGAGTGAGCTCTGTGAAGACATAGCACTGGGACTCACCCTCCAGTGCTGAGGTCTAGCCCCACGGCGTACGGTGCCTGCGTCTGGCTGGCAAAGGGTGGTACCTTCATGTGGAGCTGGCTCTGGGGGAGGTTGTGGGGGGCTGGGCCCCCCTGAGGTGTTGGAGGCAGCTGGCCTTTGGGCTGGGGCGTCCCCCGAACAGCGTTCGGCGTCTGAGCCCGAGTCCTGGCGGGAGGTGGGGCAGGAGGACTGGGGGGCAAGGCCTGAGGTGGAACAGGGGCTGCAGCTGCCTGAGAAGGGGGCTCCTTGGGCAGGAAAGGCACTAGCAAGGGGTCCCGGTCGGCCTCGTAGTTGCGTTCCTGGCTCCGCTCCAGGCCTGAGACTTTAGGGATCACAGAGAGTTTGGCTTCACAGCTCCCATTTAATGCACCAATGGGTCCCGAGGCTGTCAGGAGAAAGGAGAGAAGAGAAGATGGGGGTGAGGGCATGAGCAGAATCTGGAGACCGTTGGAATTAGAGCTTGCGGCAAAATCCTTATGCGGCCACAGATTTCATGACTAGGCAAGTCTTATCTCTTAAAATATTTTCATTTTGTACAGAACAGGAGCCAAAATAGGCTGGCCTGCTTCAAAGAGCCATTTTGGAGACAGCTAAGGGAAAAGCCTAGTGGAAAGAGCAAAATCAAATTGGGTAACAACTACACCAGCAGCAGAGAAGCCTATCACTGCACTGCAAGCATTTAACATATAACACTTAATGATGACAATGCTAACAATATTTTACTATTTCTTGCTTCTTAGAACAACTTAGGACTGCAGAACTGGAAGGGACCCTATGAATCATCGAGTCCAGCCTTTGTCAAGGAAGCACAGTGGGGGATAGAACTCCCAACCTCTGGCTGCACAGCCAGATACTTAAACCACTGAGCTATCTAGCAGTTCCATTATTCTTATCAGTATTACTATTTGTAAATTTTATTAATGAGTAGTACCTTGAGCAGCTCAAAAAAAAAATACCTCTAAGCTAGACCCGTGTTTCTCAACCTTTGGCCCTCCTCCAGGTGTTTGGGACTTCATCCCCCGCAATATCTGACCATAGACCAAGCTGGCTGGGGCTTCTGAGAGATAAAACACTGAACACCTAGAAATAGGTTATATGTCCCTCTACCTTCCATTCAGATGCCATTAAACTCCTTTTTCTGACAGCCCTCACCAGTGAGGCCAATGGTAAGGGATGATCAGAGATAAGTCTAGTATTGTCTAGAGGGCAGTCAACTCCCCAGCTGTGATCTATACCGACACTATCTAGTCTGATGGGCAACTGCCTTCCAGGATTCTCAGGCAGGGAATGGCTGTCTCATCCCCTCGTATGGACTCAACATGTACATGTTTTAACTGGACATGCTGAAGAGTACATCTGGCACCTCAAACAAGAAAATAACAGATTCTAGGACTGATCTTCAAATTCCTCTCTCTGACAATATGCAAGCCAGTATGAACCAGCTGGCTTGTGTTCAAAAATCCAGATTTTACAGCACAGAGAACCAAAGAGAGCTTCCACCCCACGTCTTTCTACTTGCTCCAACCCCACCTTTGCTGGTTGAGACAGTGAATGAATGTTCGAGGTCATCAATGGAGGCCTGTGGAGAAACACAGAGGCTCCGTCAGTTCCCAAGTGACTTTTTAAAAATACATAACAACTCAAATTCATTTTAATACATACAGAAAAAATGCATGAAAATGTATAAATGATAGCATTTTATTGTCTTCTAAAGCAGTGGTTCTTAACCTTTGTTACTCGGATGCTTTTGCAACTCCCAGAAACCCCAGTCAGGACAGCTGGTGGTGAAGGCTTCTGGGTGTTGCAGTCCAAAACTCCTGAGTAATCCAAGGTTAAGAACCAGTGTTCTAAAGCAAGATGTGCTTTTCTTACAAGCAGGAACAGATTCACCTGTTCTGCTAATACATGGGTTTGGCTGCGCTGCAGGACAGAACCGATGAACTGAGCAGGGAATGATTTCTGAGTCAGACTGCTTCTAATTCATCTCCACCCCCTTTCTGCACTCCATGGCACCAATTTCAATACATTCAAGACCATCAAGATGATACACTCAATTCTGTGACTACCTTCACAGAGGAATAGGAGGAAATGTGTAAGAAACATGCTTTACACTGAGTCAGGTCACTGGTCCCTCTAGCCTAGGACTGTTGACTCAGACTGATGACCACTCTCCAGGTTTTTAGGCAGAATTCTTCCCTGGCTCTACCTGGAGATTGTGTACAGCCTCTCATCTAAGTACTAAACAAGCTCAAGATCTGCTTAGTTTCTGAAATGACATGAAATATGGTGTGTTCAGGATATTACGGTGGTCCTATTCTGGCACTGCAGCCTATGCAGGCTTCCTGCAGTCTGCTAGGTACAGGTCAAATTGCTCATTTTGACTTTTTTCAAACTCTTTGGACCTCTTGGGATTAATCAAAAGGACCAAAGGTGTTCACAGACCTTTTGCATTATTGTGGAAACCTGATTTTCATAGCTTTGAAATCCCAGAAAACTGCTTCCATGAGCACAGGAAAGAGACCTTGTAACTTTGCACAACAGTGAATCTCTTGCAATACCTCCCCAACCCTGCCCTATCATCTCTCTGAAAAACATAAAACTATTAGGAGATGTTAAGGCCTGGTAAGCTAGGCACAAGAGTGGGGTCAATGTTTACCTGCTCCTCTCGGTCACTTTCTGTATCACACTGCAAAATGAGAACAAAAGAGAGAGGTGTCAGTTGGGGCAGCAAACTGGAAATGCTTGTAGGAAGGGGTGGAGAATGGGTTAACTGCTGAGATGTTTGGGCAGCTAAAATCCTGCCCTCTAAAAAGTGTGATGCTAGGATTATGTTCTGGGGAAAAGAACAGCAAAAATCAATAAACCCAGGTTTGGCAGGCTAGGTGGCATAGAAACAGCTGACTTACTAAATATCCAGTTTCCAGGTAGGTTTGGAGAGAAGGCTGGAAATTAAAAGAAGGTGGGGGGTAGAGACACAAACATTACTTTCACAATAACAAAATATTGTCAGTACCAAAAGTTCTTTATTAAAAAAAAGCAAAGATATTGAGATACAGTACTGTATGCCCTTAAGGCTTTTATGACAAACAGTAAGATGTTACGGTTTTTACTGAAAACAAGAACTGTGTCAGCATTAAAAGCATGAGTTTTGTATCCCCCAAACAAGGGAAAGCCGTAGCCTGAGGCACACATTGAGTACTATGCATCAGCTGCTTCATTTGCTGTTTTGCAGCAGAACTGGACAATCTGTGGTTCTCTGGAAGTTGTCGGACTGATATCAGCCCTCACCACTGGCTATGCTGGCAAGGGGTAAGGGGACCTGCAATCCCACAAGATCTCCAGAACTGCAAGTCACCTGCCCCTGCTCTAAAGTGGCCCTCCCCATAGATGCTAGACTTCCCATTTTCTTCAAAAATAGAGGACCTTCAAGACAGATTCAGTGTGAACTCATTAATATCCAAGTCTATCACTTACAATGTGACTAGAGAAAAAAAGGCTCTTTTTGAAAAAAAAAAACTCACACTGAAAACTCATTACCCAATTTATCAATGCAACAGGGATCATGTGATCACAACCGTTGTGTAACCAGCTAATATTAATAAGGTAAGCATCACTGCCTGTACTTACTGCACTTCAAACCCTTCAAAACTCATGTCTATAATTCACCCACTATAAATGTGTGTACGTATGAATACACTGAACTTCAAAGAGCATAAAACACTATGTTGCTTTTGCTGCAATATACAAACATAGTGTACCAACTGTTCTCATTACTCTGGCTCCTTTAAGTCTATATTCATACTCTCTCCTCCTCCTGGTAGTAATGCTTATTTTTCTTGAAAAACAAAATGCTCTGCTAGGCCCCACTCCACACATTCCTTGGCCCATCCATAGCGGTACACACTTGAGCTCCCTTTCCTCCAGAGTCTCACCTCTTTGTGCCGTCTCTTGCTACGTTTTCTCAGCGCTCGCTCCCCTCCACAGCTCCTGCTGCGACCCTTCTCTGAACAACCATCCTCATCTTCATGTTCAGAGTTGTTCCCCTCACCCCGTTTTCTTTTTCCAGAATGCTTCATCCGGAGCTCCAACCGCTCTGGAGTCTTCAAGGTTGCATCCTTCTGTTGGTAGATAATCAAGACATGCTTGTGTTGAACAAAACTGACTAGAATTGCCTATGAAATGGACACTTCCTCTGTATAATGAAATATTCCCGAATAAGACCCTGGAATGGATGCTGTGATATGGCTGACTCTGGGGCAGGGGTGGGCAATATGCAATGTGCCCCAACCCAAAATGCAGCCTCTCAACAATCCCCCCCATTTAGCATTTTTTTAAAATATATTTTTCTTAACTATTAGTTCATACAAGAAAGCCTTTATAAGCTGTGGAAAATACTTTGGTAAGAATTTTTTTTGCAGGAGATAGTTGCAGATGGCAATCTTCCAAGGGATGGGGTATGTGGCCCCCAGACTTTAGAAGGTTGCCATGCCTTCCTGTCCCCTGTCTGCTCTACGGCACAGAAGTACACATTATTGTCACCAGGAAGAAAAAAAGCACAAATGAATAGAGAGCAGAAATATAGACACATGCATTGATTACTTGACTGTGAGTCATCAACTTCATCATTTACTTTGGTCTCCAAAAGGAGATGGAATTTCTATGTGAGAGCCAAACTTGGTCTCACTTTGAATTGCTTCAGGGAAATCAACAGAACTTGACTAACTGAAGTCTCATTCATTTCAATAGGCCTACTCAAAGTGAGACTATGAATGCAGACAGTAATCTTTGATTATCTTGCAGATTTGATAAAGTTTACATTTATGAACAAACAAGAATATGGAAAATTATCAAACCATACACTCAATGGACAAAAGCCAGTCAGAGATTTGTTGGGTTGGGTTCAAAATCTCCACACAGTCACCTCATTTATAGGCTGCTCTTGGGCCTGACATTTTATTTATTTATTTATTTTTGTTCTATTTATTTATATGTTGCTGTTTCCCTTCTGTAAAGAAATCAACTCTTCCATCTTCTAATCAGGTAAGATTTGTTCAGATGCCATTCTCCAGCCTGGCACTATCGAAAGGTACTATGCTACTATGCTTTCATTCTCAACCTAACCTGTGGCCTTAGACATCTAGAAAGAAGTGTAATAATCTACATAACAGTGTTTTCCAGGGTGACAGCCACTGTGGTGTCATGGTTCACATGCCAGACAAGACTAACACAATATATATATATATCTTTCTTCTACCCTATCTCCAGCAAACCCAATTCAGCTGAGCAAACCTGGACTATTCTCTTTCAGGCTGACCTATCTTACAGGGCAAATCAGGGTGAATGAGACCAATGCAAACCTCTGAACTCCTTGCAGAATGTGCAGGATAAAAATGTAACCTGACTTTCTTTGCTTGAGCATCACAATTATTCTCAGCTCTGGGATTCTGCACAGTGAAGAGTTATTTATTGCACACTGGATTCTTTCAGAGTTTGGTGAAGACATGTACCTGTGTCCACACCCTGCTCCTCACCCAGTCCTGTCTAGCTGGAAAAGCAAGTGACTCCAGTACAGAAATGGTCTGCAAGTTCAGCCAAGAGTAGGGATTTCTTTACTGCATAAGCAAGTGGAACAACTGTCTTGTATGCCACCCACCTACTGAAGTCAACGGATGTCATATCTGCCCAGACACACTTTGTATACTGGGTCATAACCCAACTATGAGAAAGCAGGTGGTGTGTGTGTGATTTCCCTGCCATGAGGAGGAGGATAAGAAACTTATACTATAAACAGGAAATAGGACAGTCCCACCCCAGACAAAGAAGAGAAACAGAATCTTCACAACTTATACCTTATACATCTTTGTATTGTGTAATATATTGCGCTATTGGGAAAAATATAAAGGCGCCGATATAGAACCATTCCAGGGTCCTCTAGTCAACATTACCAAGGATTTACCTATGTCTTGATACAAAGAAAATAGCAGTACTTACACTGAGTTATGGATTCATCCCAATTTGATACCAATTAAACCCTTTTATTATACTTTATGAGCTGAAAATGCCTCTTAAACAGGTCTGTCTTATCTTCAAAGGCCAAGGCCCTGTCCCCTTTTTGCCATAAGCCAGTCATTTCAGTGTAGAGGTCTGTGTGCTTCTTAAGCACTGTTGCTGACAGTACGGAAGACCCAACAATCATCATCTGCTTTCATCGGCCACTCTCACAGGAAGTTGAACCACATGCCTTTGCCTATTAGTATCTCAATAGACTCTGTATCTAGTACAAGAATATTTTCAAACACCGAATGTCCTTTTGTCTTGTGTCAGCTTCCTCGAGTGCCAGAAAAGACAGCTTTACTCTTGCTGGCTCATTTACACAGGGTTTCTGGTAGTTTCCCATCCAAGGCAACAAGCAAGTCTCACACATCAAATACTGCTACATCAGGGATGAGAATGATGGGGCTCTTCAAATGTTGTTTGACTGCCATTCCCATAATTCCCGATTACTGGGCTACATCAGCTAAGACTGATGGAAGATGTAACTCAAAAATCATCTGAAGAACCACAAATTTCTCATTCTTGTTTTATATCATCCCTTAGAGCCATCACCAATCATTTGCTTTTTGATTTGGGAGACCCACAGTGATCAAAACAAACCCTTGCACACTGAAGATTACAACAGCTACTAAATCACTGATCCCAACCACTACTCCCTATAAATGTTGCCCTAGCTCACTTCTTCCTGAGACATTTTGGGGAAAAGATTAGCTATATGCATGGAACCTGCAAAAATAACTAGACCCTACATTCACCTTATTTCACCCTGTACCATGGCTCTGTGAATCCCAAAAGGCACATCCCCCTCCCTGAGCTCAGCCTCCAGCTGCTTTGTGTGTTGTGCTGCTAGAAGCTCCTCACCTCAAGTGCTTCAAGGCTGACAAAGCTGGCAATGGCAAAGCCATCAATAAGATCCTCTTCTTCCTCTTCCTCTTCTTCCTCCTCACGACTGCAGGAGGATCCAGAGGGTCTCTTTCGCCGTCGTAAGGGCCGTCGGCGTCGGCGCTGTTGCTGCTGCAGTGGGCGGCTTTTTCCAGGTGCCATGGGGGCAGGCGGAGAGGGGCCCTCGCTGTCTGATCCTGAAGACGAGGATGACGACACGACGCGATGGGAAGAATTCCCAGGCCGACCTGCCCGGCGGCGAGTGCAGCGGCTCTCACGGTCCCGCCGTGAGCAACGCCGTTGCCTCCTTGCTCGGCTACTGCTGCCTCCTCCTCCACTCCAGCAGTGGGCAGGAGCAGCTGCAGTTCCTTCCATGATGCCCCCCCTTGAGGAACAGAGAATTTGTCTTGTTGTGTCCAGGTGGGTGCTGTAGACACGTGAGAATGGGGGGGGCACCCTTCACCCCTCACCAGCCAAGTGCATTGCAGCTGCTCTCAACCAGGTCCTTGCTCCTTTTTGGACCCCACCCAGAAAAGCACCAAATACAAGAATAAGGCTTGCCTTTAAAAAAAAGTCAAAAAGTTTTTCTTATTCTGAGGCAGAAAGGCCTTGGCCTCCACACCTCACAGTCAGCAAAATGTAGAGTATGCTGCCAAAAGCTGAGGGATCTTGGTTCCTTTGGGGAAGTCCCCTTTCATTCAAGCTTAGTTCCCTCCAAAGCAACAGTGGCAGCTTCCTGTCCGCTTTTATTTTTGTCTTCCTCTTGAAGGCAAAAACGATTAAATTACAAAACAATTAAATATTTTCAAGATAAAACTAAAAAAATGGGAAATCATCCAAGAGCATTTCACCATAAAATTAGCATCCGCCAACGCCCAGAGCACAGTCCCTTTAACAAGGGGCTTCCCCTTGCCGTCCTGAAGAAAATCGGTCAGACTTAAGCCCCCGAGCCCTTCATAAGGATTTTACATCCCTCCAACCCCGACGCAGTGCTGAGAGATGAGGGCCTTCCAAAAAAAAAAAAAAAAAAAAAAAAACCAGTCTCGAAAGTCCCTTTCCAACAAATGCTGGCACTTGGCAGGTGGGTCTGGCAGCTGGGAAGGAAGCTTCTGATTTAAGTGCCTTGTTTTCTTTAAAGAAAAGGGAAAACCCAACCAACCACCACGAAACGCCTTTAGGCCTTTCCTTCCAGAGCAAGGTTTTCAACGTCCGGGCAGCGTCAAGAGCTTGCACAGCCTCCCCTTTAAGACTGCAGATGTGACTTCTGCCAACAATGGCAAATGGCTTCCGCTCGGAGGGCAGTCACTTCCTCCCCTTCCATGACGAGGCCTCCCATGAGCACTTCTGCAATGACATCTCCTGTCAAGATCCCCCCGGTCGGCCGCCACTTCCTTTCTACTGTTATTGTTATTATTTTTAGGCGGCTCGGCTCCCCGCGACGGGGTGTGACCTTGCCTTTAAGGACCCCTGATGTGAGCGTCTCATTTCCCTCTCGCTCAATCCCCTTTAAGTGCTTGAGGCTTTAAAAGCCGCCACACATTTCCGACCAAGGCGCGGCCTCCCCTTTAAGGCCCGAGCTTTAAAGTTCTCCCTTGTCAAGCACCCGGTGTTCTCACGGCCGAAATGAAAAGCCCTCCCCACGTTCCTCCCGGGCCGCTCCCGCTCCCCTTCAGAGCCCAGCGCCCAAAGTCCGCCTGAGCCACCCACAGCCGCCTTTGAGCGCCACCCCTCCCTCGCCACCACAATGAAGGCCTCAGCACAACTCCCCTTTAAGAGGGCCGAGCTCCCTTTAAATCCATTGACAGGAGCTGGAGCTGGGGAGGGGGTTGTTGTCCTGCGGCTGAAAGTGCCCCCTCTTCTCGTCGCATTTCCCACCCACCCCCCTTTCCAAGCTGTACCTTTAAGAGCGCCGGCCGTTGAGGGTGGTTTCCAGGCACCGCCGACACCCCCCC